ACCTCAAAAAATCAGAACAGGGAGAGGGATATATATGGTTCACTGTGAAGACCCTGGATTCGATCCTCATGATGAAAGACAAAAGGATGTGAAAGCAGCTTTTTAGGGAAAAATATGTCTATGAAATAAGATAGAGAACTCAAGGATTGCTGGGGATATAGCTCAGTGGCACAGCGCTTGCCTAGCAAGCAGGAGGTTGTGAATTCAATTCCTGATATAAAAAACAAAACAACACAAAACAATCTCAAGGATTAATAACTTGAGGAAACCCGTGAGGACACTGATATTTTTAAACAAATTTTAAATAGAATGAGATTCATATTATTGCAAAAGCACAATATTAAACTCAATTTTTAAAGAAAGGATTTTAAAGCAAGGATTGCTTTGTAAGAACTTAGCACCTTCTCAGTGGATAGTGGCTGGAAATAATAGGGGACAGAGCACAAAAAATTGTGTTATTTTTGACAATTCATCTTACATGAAGGACTGCATGCCTGATTCCTGGGACACAGTCACACAGGAAACTATAACCACACGGTGCAACATTTCTTAAAGTAAGACACTGACACCTATTTTTCTGTAAGTTCTGAGCTCATCTCATTTGTTACTATTTGTTAAAAGGAAAACCTATTCTCAAGTTTGATGAAAAAAGTTCTAAATTATACAGTGCAGACTCCTAATTACCTACCTCACTGTTATTACCTTCTTCATAACAACATTCCAATTTTACCTGCAGTGACAATGTGCCCAAATTTAGGTGACATTTCTCAGCTTTCCTAGTAGCTTTGTGCCTAAATGATTAAATTTATTCCAACAAGATGTAACAAAATGATTGTGTGAAACTACTGGGTTGATTCCATTAAAGACTGTGGATGGCCACCCATCATACATCATAGGTGGAGCCTTGTCAGCCATCTTGGACATGAGGTAGGGGAGAAAAGAAACTTGTTTCCTGGTAACTAAATGCTGCAGCCTTGACAACCTGTCTCTTGATTTCCTCTTTGTGTGGGAACAAAACCTTTTGGCACTGTTTTGTTTTTTAGTTTTGTGTATGTATTCCTAATTACATCTCCTAACTAAAACTGGTGTTTTTCTTTCCTCAGTCGACAACCATCCAAGGTTGAAAATGTTAGAAAAACACATCATTTTAAAGCAAACCAGAACAGTTTGATTTATATTTGGAAGAGGACAAACAACAACCTGTGGTTAATGAGACATTTGAAGAAATAAAGAACTATACAAATAAATGTGTAATTACAACTTGCGGTAAGCACAATGAAGAACCCAAGGGAGCAAGTGGGAACATGAAATCCTCCCAGCAAACATGCAGCTCCAACTATATTTAACTAATATTTCAGGCAGTTTAAGGTTTCCGGGTCAATTAAATAATGTAAGGAATTTCTCATTAGTCATGGAACGAAAAACAGAAATGGATTCCGCTTTTTGAATCCAGGATTCAAGTGGATTTTATTAAGGTGGAAATTGCTTGATGATAACAAAAATCTGAAATTCTTCAGAAAATAATGTACCAGTCCCCTAACTGTACTTAAAAAAAAAAAGTTAAGTAGTAAGCTCCAAAGCATCCAAAGAAAGAGCTTCCATATTTTCAGAAGACAATGCTAGAATATTGCTATTCTCTAAACATTGACATTATTTTTACCTAACTGCAAAATTTCATGCCGAATACAAAGACAATAATAAAACCAACTCCTGAACAGAAATACTGGCATGTGTTTATTTGTAAAAACCTGTCTTTCTCCACTTGCAGATTATTTTATCTCTTTCTTTTTTTAACTCTTACAAATATGACTTTTAGGGGCTGGGGATTTAGCTCAGCGGCATAAGCACCTGCCTTGCAAGCAGGCGGTCATGAGTTTGATCCCTGGTACCGATAAAAAGTTAAAAAAAATAGCAAACAAATATGACTTTTATTTTCACTTGAAAATAGGAATTTTGCCTTTGCTTAATTGCAAAGATCTTTTTTTAAAAAAAGTAGTCCTAAAACTCAAATTTCCATACTTTATAGGTTTATAGAAGTTTTGAAAAATCGTTTACTTATTAGAATGTTCATCCTACCAAAGTGATGCAGATTTAATACAATCTCAATTAAAGTATCAAAAGCATTCTTACAGAACTAGAAAAAGCAATCCTAAAATTTATATGGAATTAGGAGACTCAGAACCGCTAAAGTAATCCTGGGCAATGAGAGCAAAGCAGAAATAGAGGGTGGAGAAACACCCTGAGTACATCAAGTCAAAAGAAAGCCTCTCTAGCAAATGGTGCTGGAAAATTGGTTTCGCACACATGAAGGACTGAGCATAGACCTAGTCCTCTGGTCATGTATTCCCCAAAATAAATATTAATCCGTTGGAAGATAAAATAGCCAAAACCTTTTCAGACACAGGGATGGATGAAGACTCTGCACAGAACACTAATTGCACAAGAAATATCAAGAACCAAAAAATGGAATGATACCAAATTAAAAAGCATCTGAAACCACCAACAGAGTGAAAAGACGAGTTATTCCCCAGACGGATGGCTAATATGAAGAATATATATAGACCTTGAAAATACCAGACCCACCCCAAAATAAAAGCATGGGCAAGTGGAATGGAATAGACACTGCTCAGGAGAAATGCAAAGTATGGATAAATACATGAAGAAGTTTTCAGCTTCTCTGACCATAAGAGAACTGCAAATTAAAATGACACTGAGATTCTCTCTGACTCCGGAGAGAATGGATACCACCAAAAATCAAATAATAACAAACGCTGGCAAGGGTGTGGGGGGGAAAGGCAGCCTTCTACAGTATTGTTGGTGGGAATGTAAGCAAGCACAACCCCTGGACCTAGCCATCCCCTTGTAGGTATCCGCCTGAAAACAAGAAAGACAACGTATTACAGTGGTACACAAATACCCGTGTTTGTAACAACATGACTCATAATAACTGAGTCTTGGAAGCACCTATATTAATCAACAGGGTCATGGATAAAGAAAACATGATATTTGTACATAATGAAGTAATACTGTGCCATGCAGAAGGATAAACTTGAATCATTTTTAGTAAAACGGTTGCACCTTGGGGCCAAAATATTAAGTGAAATAAATCAGACATGAGCTTAAATATTGTATAAAAGACTCAAAATACAAATAATTTAAAGATCAAAATAAAAGACGAGAAACCAGAAGCAGGGAGATAGATCTTTTGCAAATGGGCAGGAGTGGGAATCTAGAGAGGAGGAAGGGAGGGAAAAGGATGAAGACACATCCTGTCCGTGTCCCTTTCCCCCAGGAGGAATGTGGCCACCATGTACTAAAGACGAAATTTTAAAGACGATTTGTTCACATATAACCTCAGTTAAAGCTCTAATTAGGATTATATGAGTTCAAATGGATACACAACCAACACACTATTCTTAGACTTGTGAAGCTGATTCTATGGCCGTTACTAAAATCCAGAGTGACCATTGATAAACTAGCAAAGTTTATAAGGAAAACCTCTGTATCCCCAAACCAAAACACTTTAGTCAACTTGACTGATATTAAGCATCATGAAGTGAAAATCATTCGGTACCTTCGGTCTGTCGAGGCCGTGGTTCTCAAACCAGCTCATGTCATGGCACACCAAGGAGACAGTGACACTGAAAGGTTTATGGCTGATCATGGTAAGCAGACATAGCTACTCAGGGCCCAAGGGGAGTCTGGCCACCCAGCCCTGCCCAGCCATCCTGAGGCTGAGGAGCAGACACACCTGTACTCTGCAGCTGGACACATCTGTAGTTCACCTGTGGCCCACTGCCAAGATGATGACTGCTGGGAGCCATGATCTAGGGAGTCAAATTAGGCTACGAGAATTTCTAAGTGTTGTTCTTATGCATTATTTACAAATACTACACAAAGTTATTGAAAACAGCATATCAAAAATCAGGGGCCAAATTTATATATTTGGGAGTATTTGTGGTGTTTTTCAGAGAAATAAAAATAAGTTGATAAGAATCAACCAGTTGATCAGTTAGGATCTTAACAGTGTCTATCCCATTTGATCACAAAACTATCATTCAGTGAGTGGTGAGATTCTAGTGCCTTCCTGCCTCATTCCATCTGATGAACAATTTAAACTGCTGACTTGATCATTGAGAAACCTTTCAATGACTCTCCAAATCATTGTAATAATTTCTAATTATCTTTCTGCAGCTTGTCAAGTTTTGCACACGCACTGAGAATGCATGTAGCTCACTGGTAGAATATGTGCGCTCCATGTGGGAGGCTCTAGGCTCAATCCCCAGCATCAAAACACAAAAACAGCCAGGCATTTAGCTCAGCGGCATAGTGCCTACCTTGCAAGTGCACAGTTTTGAGGCACCAAACAAAAACAAAAACAGCCACCAAACAGCACCTTAAAATGTTAAATCCACCCAGGCACTGGGCTAGTCTTCAGTGCTCAGCTAGCCATGTCTTTTCCCTGTTTAAAGTTCAGTGCCTTTTCAATTGTTGTCCTGCTATTACAAACCTCCTGGGTTTCAAGAACCTACTGATATCTGCCTACCAACAGCTATGGGATGTGGTTGATCCCTTCCGTTCAAACCCAAATGAAGTCTTAGTTGACTACTTCTTGTCATCAAATTCCCACCCCCCCCCCCATAAATTATCTGCTCTTCCTCTGAACTCTGGGGTTTCCCTGTGTGGTGTCTTCTCATAATCATTTTCTCTTGAGTTCTCATCTGGAATCTGACACAGCACAGAGGCTTAGGAAATGCCTCTTGAATAAAAGAAAGGATGTCTGGATAGTAGACATAGCTACTCAGGGCCCAAGGGGAGTCTATCCCATCTCTCATAGACATTTCCTCAATCTAAAATAAAACTATTTTAAGAAATAAATTGGCTCCGTCACCCTTGGTTATTTTCAGCCATATTTAAATATCTATTGACAGCAGCCACAGGTAAGATCTTTTTTATTTGCATATCACAGAGCATGTGAGAAAATTAGGACATTTAAATACCTTTTTCAAATAGGGTGCGATCTTTCATCTTTAAAAGCCTTTCCTTTTTCACTGAGCCTTGATTTCTCTGGAAGATCATTTATTCCTTCAGTAGACTAGAAAAAAGAAAAGAATAAAGATCTGACTTCCTTCCTAATCAGCCCGAAGGCCATTTCTCAACTTTTCATTTTGTGCTTTCCAAGAACAAAAGCTGAGGTACTTTGACCGGAAGGCAGCCCTCCAGCCTTCCAGCCAGGTGGATGGGGTGTGAGCAGGGGAAGGACCCACGCTGGCCCTCAAAAAAGATGTCTTTGCACAGGCAGCCCTGGACCCTAGAGGACAGCCTGCAGCAGGGTTCAGTCCTTCCTGGATTATCTCACCTTGTTTTGGAAATAAAGCTTGTAAAAGCCGAGAAGACTCCAGTGCTGGGAGGGTTTGACATGACAGGATTTCTGCTTTCGCTCTCTGTCTCACTTTTGCCAAGTTCCTCTCCAGAGAAACCGTTCCCCAGCACCCTCCTCACCTGCTGGACATAATTCAATCCACTTTCTGTCTACCTGGCCTACTCCGAATTGGCGTCTTCAGGAAGAGGACACTACTCCTACTGCTTAGCACTTCCAACCTAAAGATCTCAAACCAAAGCTGGGCCTGGTGGTACACGCCCATAACCCCAGTGCTCAAGGGGCCAGGCTGGGAGACTCACTGAGGGCTTAAGGCCAGTCTGGGCTACACAGGGACTTCAAGGCCAGCCTGATCTACATAGCAAGACCCTGTCTCAAAAAAACAACACAAAAAGAAATCTCAAATTTTAGTCACTGATTGTAGGCAATGGACGGGGTGCTGAAAGAGTCAACATTCATGGCATCTTGAAGAAGGATGGGATGAGAAATATGTGCCCTGAGCCCAATGACTCAAAAAGAGGTGAGAGGCAGGCATGGTCCTATAGACCAATCATTCTGCTAGTCCTGGAGGCTGAGGCAGGAAAATCTCAGACTAAAATATTAACTGGGCGACTTATCTACACCCAGTCTCAAAATAAAAAAAGGGCTGCAGATGTAGCTCAAAGAAGGGAGTAGGAAGGATGGGGCGGGCCTGCAGGTGGGTCATGGAAGGACGGACATAAACAATGGCTTTTTTGCTTTTCTTTTCATTTTTGCTTGAAACAATTCATTTAACTGAAATGCTGTACACTGACTTCCATTTATTTTGATACATCTTTTCCCCATGGTGATTTAGAGGATCTTCAAGGCAACATAAATATTTCACAAATATTTGGTCACCTGGACAATGCCTCACAGCTTTCAGCAAGAAAAACACTGAAGAGTAAAGGCCAGGCACAACTCATAGGCACAAGGAGAATGTGCTCTGAATATTTGTTTCTCTGAGGTAAAGGCACCACATCCATGTTCAATTAAGCAAACCACCCTTACAACCCAGGACGATTTTTAATTTTTAAGCAGGGCCTACAACACTTTGCAGCTCCATCCCCAGCCGGTGCCCTGCATGTGCCCACCAGGTCTCACAGAGCGAGTTCCTCCAGGCGGGGCAGGCTGGAGCTTCCCCGGAACCCAGCTGCCTTTCTCTTCGGCTTCCTTCTCTTCCTGCTCATTGATGTGTTTCAAGAAGCTACCGCAACTCTCTGCACGTTTAATATGTTTGATCCGCACATTAGTCCTCCTGGCGAGTATCTTGCCCTTAGCTCGCTTTGTGCTGGGGGACTGCAGATGCTTCAGTTTTGCAACAGTGACACGTGTGTGGCGTTCCTTTTTTACCCATCGATGTCTACAATTTCATTCTTTTTGCAGCTGTGCATGTATGTGGCCAAAGGAACAACCCCATGTTTTTTTAAAAACCTAGAGAACATAGTCTGGGTTTCTCTCCTTTTTCTCTTTGCGGTTGTCATTTTGGTAGACTACAAGAAGATGGCAGTTCCGGCAGAAAGGAAGCAAAAATATATTACATGGATTGGACTCCTCCATCCCTGCCTCAGATATGAAACTAGCAGAGAGAGCAGAGCAAGGGTGTGATGGGGGGGTGTGAGAATGCTAACAGCACGTGCCTGAGCGAATCTTCCAAAAGGAAACTCATTAATTTGGCTAGCCATTTAAAAGAAAAAAATATAAAAATAAAAAGGCCTGCAACATAGAATTCCAGGGGTTCAATATCCAGCATTACAAAATATGAAATAAATAAATAGCAAAATATACGCCAAAACAAAAACAACGAACAACAATAAACAACACAAAAAGCAGGTTGAAACCAGACGTGGTGACACTTGCCTGTAATCCTAGCACTAGGAAGGCTGAGGCAGAAGGGTTCTAAATTTGAGCAGACCAGGCAACATATATATGGCTACATAGGCTGGCCTGAACTATCACATGAGACACTGACTCAAAATACAAGTGCAAAAACACAAAAACCCCAAAGCAGGCTGAGTATCTTCTTTCTTAAAAAAAAGCAGTTCCAGGTGTACAGTTAAAAGGGCCCGAAAAGGCAAAGCTTCAGAAAACTGTAGTCAGTGAGGGAATGGAGAGAGACTGTGCTGCTGCCATCTGACATTGCACAAGGCCCTACGTGTCACAGACTCATTTCTAAAGTGCGGATACGGAACACAGTATCCCCACAGGTGCTAGGAGGACCTTGTGCATTCCTGCCACTGTAGTGCCTGAAGGCTTAGTTGCAAGGGTCAGTCTTCCTGAATGACTCACATTGCCCAAGTATCCTGAAGTACCCTCATCCATCCGAGAGTAGAGTTGAGAAATTTTCTACGTTATTCAGTTCTCTTCTTAGAGATCAGAAGCTGCTCTCAGGAAAATCTTTTTAACAGAATTATGCATATTCGATGATAGAGTCTGCCCATAGAAATACATTTCATAGGACACTAGACTGATTATTAAGAAGAAAAAGATATTAAGAAGCAATGTATGAACTATGGAGCTATTGACACCCTGGGGTGGGAAGCAGCTATCAACTAGAATACTCGCACTCATTTGCCCAACCTCTAAGGAGCCCTGCTGTGCACAAGGTGCTGTGAGGGATGCCTGGAAGACCAGGACGCACACTGGTGGGTTAGTTAACTCCCTATCTCCTAGAGAGAAGTATGGAGCGTGGTCTGAAAAGCCAGTTTGAGGTCTTTGCTCTCCTAAGGGCCCATATGTGCCTGTAGATGTGTCCAGTAAGAGTACAGCTTCCATTCATGAACTTCCGTTCATGCATGCCATGAACGGTGCACATGAACAGTGCACTGACTGCCCACAAAACCAAGAATGGAGGATGATGCCACCCATTTCTCAGCTGAAGGAACTAAGTACAGGGTGGTTAAACAGCTTTTCCAAGGCTGCCCAGCTAGGAGGTGGGGACTAGCGCTGAATTCAGATGGTAAAACATCTAGACCTCTCCCAGACATACTGTCTGGGAGTCTCTGGCAGGGTTCCTGTGGGTGGGAACACAGCTTCCCACAACCTCACCACACTTCCTGCTGGTTTCCACTGTGTGTCTTGCTGCTGCAGCTTAGGAGCTGACACAATGGCCCAAGCCCTGGAAAGTGTATCTGCAATTGCTTTAAGTGAATAGATCTCTTCAAGAGCTCCTAGGAAAAGGGAGATGCTCTGGGGCTCTATGCTCAATGACTGTCTTAAAACACTTTCAGCTCAAGCGTGTGGCTAACAGATCACACCTTGCCGGACCCCGCAGCCCAATGAACCTGGAATGCAGAAGGCCCTGCTGGTCGCACACAAGATTCAAAGAGCAGACTGTCAAAAACACCTAAGGTCCTGAGATGTGTAGTAGATCATCAGCTAATGTTCATTTAAATTGTGAGTAATACTTAGAATCACAGAGTTTATACAAAATATAAACAGAGTGGATTTCCGTAGTGCGTTTAAGGATAGGGAGCAACAGTCTTTTCTCAATCCTGTAAGCACGGCTTGAGCAAGAAGCGGAAGACCCCGTCTTATGCACTGCCAGCCCCTGCTGCTCTCTGCAACCGACAGACGATGGGCAGAGTGTGAGAAGCAACGATGCCGTGAGGACCCGAGGCTGAGCTGGCTCCAGGTACTGTAAAAAGTACGGCCTTAGATATTTTACATTGGTGGAGATACAATACTAGCACCTGGCTTCAAGCATGACAGTCCTATAATCCTGGTTCTGGGAATGATTCGGTCCCCTTTGGTAGCCCATGCACCTCTAGGAAGAGTCATGTGCTTGCTCAGGGAAGAGTTCTTTTTCACTTCCATTCCCCTATTCTTTGATTGTTTCGAAGACTGACAAATGACCAAAATCAGGCCAGTGAGACTGGCTTCCCATGCTGTGCTGTTTAAGCTATGCAGGAAGGCACTGCACTGTTATTCATTCACTTACAGTCGTGAGGCTGTGACCCTGGAGTGACAGCAGCCACACTGCCAACACGAGGGTGAAAACATGCTTACACATGCAGCTTCCCATAGTCTCCAGAGCCAAGAGATGCAGAGAAGAAAACAAAAGAGGTGATTTTAGCTGGGCACTCCAGCAGGTACCAGGAGGGGTGAGTTCAAACATTTCATTCCTTTGATGCCTAAAGCAATTTGTGCTGAGGTTTCTATTTCAACCCAAAACATTCTTAAATGATGTAAAATTTTAGTTTAAAGAACTCACTTTTGGCCTGGCGCAGTGGTGGACACCTGTATTCTGAGCATTCAGGAGGCTGAGGCAGGAGGATTGCAAATTAGAGCCCAGTTTAGATCATTTATCAAAAGTCTGTCTCAAAAGAGGGCTGGGGCTGTAGTTCAGTGTGAAGGTCCGGAGTTCAATTCTCAGTTAGGGGAGGGGGACCTTGCTTCTGAAATTGAAGCAATCTGTGTGAAGTCTAATATTACTTCCTTTTCAATCAGCACACTCCTGGATGAATTATTTAATTTTTTCACTCAAGTATTATTTAATTATGAATGATAATTTTTGTGTTTAGGGCAATTTAAAAATGCAGCTCTTGTTAAATATGTATGACATCAATTGTGTCAATGTAACACACTCATTTCATAGGCTTGATCAATCTGTACTCTTGCCAACCACTCAAATTGCCCTTGTAGTGCTATCTTATCTCATTTCTCCTAAGTCTCGAAAGAGTGGTGAAATGAAGTCT